AAACAAAATAAACAAAAAAAAAAAAAATAATGAAAGAAAGGAAAAAAGAAATAATATAATCGAATCATATGTTATATATACAATATTTCATATGGATATTTTATATTTAACAAATACTTTGGAAAAATTTTATTACCGGAAGTTATAAAAGTGAGTAAGATTAAAATAAAACTAAACTGTAAATTAGAAAAAAACAATCGATATATAATAATTAACATGCAAAATGAAGACAGAGAATTAATTAGTTATGAAAGAAGATTAAAAAAAATTCATAGTAAAATCGAACAACTGAATGAAAATTTATGCAATTTATCTGAACAACAAACTGATATCAAAAATTAAATTATTAAAAAAGAGAAAGAAATGGAGAAAATCAATCGTATTAAGCAAATTAGTAAGAATATTACAATTGTGGGTAGTACATTATCGCTTACTAGTTCTACTATAAGTGGTGGCTTATCATTATCTGGTTATTCTCAAGAAGGAGGTTTTTTGTCATTAGCTGGGTCTGCTACAAGCGGTTTTTTCGAATTAATTGGTTCAAAATTGCTTTTCTATTAAAGAAATGGATGCACAAAAGTCAAAAGTAGAATTGGAGACGAAAAGTTTTATAGAGACAGGAGGAGCTTTAGAGAAAGTTGGATAGAATTAGTTGATATTTATGAGGATTTATATTTACTTAGCCATATTTCCAAGAATTTTCCTGTAGAAGTGGATGAAGCTCTTTCCAATTTTGTTGAAGTATTATCTAAAGTAAACCAAGTAAATTATGAGCAAAATGATGAAGAAAATGAGGAATTAACAATAAAGAAAGAGTCAAGTAATATAGTAATCGAGGATACTACTAGACCATATTTTATAGAACTAAATAGTATAAATATACAACTTTATACGACAATGTCAGGCTTTACACACCGTTCATTATGGGAGAATACATCAACTAAATCAGATACTGTGTTACAACCAGTTTCACAATGTTCGGAAACTACATCATACGTAGCACCAGCTACTAAAGAAAACATCTTAAAAGATAAAGAATTATTAAAAAAATGGAAAGAAAATGGCAACAATATTGCTGAAAAAATAAAAGAATTAGTAGAAAAAATAGATGCTTATCGTAAAAAGTTGGTATCATATTCGCTACAATTTCAAAATTCTCTTTTGAAACCGCAACTTTATCAATATCCTTCTTCACAACCACAACCTAATCAATATCCTCCTTTTCAATCAAGCCAATCAAAACCTTATCAATATCTTTCTTCACAACCACAACCTAATCAATATCCTCCTTTGCAATCAAGTCAATCAAGACCTTATCAATATCCTTCTTCAAAATCACAACCTACTAATCAATATCCTCCTTTGAAATCGTAACCTCCTTTAAAATCAAAACTTTATCAATATCCCACTTTGAAACCACAACCTCCTTTGCATTCAAAACCTTATCAATATCCTCCTTTGAAACCGCAACTTTATCAATATCCTCCTTTGCAATCTCAACCTTTGTATCAATATCCCTACTGAATCTGAAAGTCCTGAAATACAGCTGGCCGAAAAATCGAATTTAAGTCAAAATACAAAATCTTTATGAAACATTTTTTGTATAAGCAAAATTAATTTTTGCTTTATTTTTATTTTATAATAAAGATAAAATCGCTTGCAATTTAAGTAATACTACTCTATAAATATTCTGTAACATAAACGAATAATAATTATATTATTATAAATTACATGTATTAATAAATGTATTCTTAATGCAAAGCCTCACCAAATGATGAAACTGTCCGCATGCTGTTTTTTAAATGTTCAGTCTAATTCTGACTAAAAAAAAGTTAAGAACCCAAAAATACAAAAAGATGGGAAATGTAAAAAGAGTGAAAAATTAGCTGTAAACTTTTTATCGAAAATATATTATTAGTGATAATTTCGGCCGAATTTTTAGTTTCGGCCAGAATTATCGAATATAACATCACGTGATCGAGAAATGCTACACATTCTATCACTAAATCGAAAATCTTAATCGAGATAGTAATAATAAATCAACCTAACATGATATAAAATGATATGGATCACATAAACTTCTAAAAAAGGATATATTATAAAGATTTCATGAATCATGACTAATATTTACTTACAAAATGAATACACACATGTCAAAGTTATGCAACATTTTTATTATGAGGAATGTGCAAAACAGCATAAAAATTGGTATATAATATATGCAACAATTGTTAATATGTTGATCATAAAATAAATAAATTAGTCAAAACTAATAATAATTATGAGAGATTTTCTTATGCTGACTTATTATGAACAATGTAAAATCAAAATTAGCTGGAATTATGCAATATTTAAGTAGAAATGATGTGTTAATAATTTTATTTATTATGAGTAAACTTGTATCAGTCTATGTAACTAGTATAAATAAGGTAAAAATTATTGTACAAAATTACGCAAGTCATGACTCATGACTTTATGAGTCATTACAATTTAACTTTTGTACATTTTGTACTCAACATCACATAAAATTTGTACAACAAAAAAATATATAAAAAGACCTTACTTAACTGTGCGTTTCCAAATCATTTATAGTTCCAAATCATTTATAGGATAACACAAACCAAATAATTATCATCAAGACCAAGATTTACTTACTTACGGATAATGGTTTTACTTACTTACTTACACTAACTGAAAAATCTTAACAAAATCAACAGGAATTTATTTATCACATTTGGTACATTTGGTGAGTTATTGTGTTTAAATT